TCCTCTGTGCAGTCAGCTAACAGCTGGCTTTATTAGAAATCTGTTTATGGTGCACTTTGTGCTGACTCCTTACAGTTCGTACTTGGGTAATAGCCTTCACGCCCAGAGGACTCTGTGTTATATGTGGGTGAGCACAGAATGCTTCTGATGGTCATCTGAATAGTTTGTATCATGTTCAACATGGGCTTGTTGTGTATGTAGCCCTGACTCCAGACCATACGTATTTGGACAGTTACACATTTTTGTGCTCTTCAGACTCTCCTTGAGTACATTCAGTTTGAAATAATGGGTGTACTACATTGAGCTGCACATCCATTTCCTCATATTTGCGGTGTCTGTTCGTCTAACTGGCATGTAAAAAGTGTGTGTGTCAGTGTGTGTACACTGAGGAACATCTGTGTGTCACCTCTCACACCCTGTGGAGGTGTCATTAACTCCTCCATCCCTTGGTGAACAGGAGTGACTTGGACTGCAACAAAGGCAGATCAATCAGATCAAACAATTAGTGGGACAGCATAGGTTTATAAATTATTCAAATGGTGTAGAGTTTTGCTTTGTGAATGTGAAGCGGTGTGTCTGGCTTTCCAAAATATGTGTCTGGGAATACTTTACGGTGGAGTCCGTTTTTATGTGTGTATACTTTTGTTGTGTGTTGATGATTTCTGGTTTTGTTTAGATGGCGAACCAAGCAGAATCTGGACTATTCCTTCCTCATGATGTATGCTGTGAGCAAAGGGGTTTATTATGTCCAGGTATGTCCTAATAAAGAGGTAAATAAATAAAATAAATGTTCCCATAGCAACTTGTTGGAGTGCATACTAGGCAAACACTGGTTTGCTGTTGGTTTGGAGCATGTCAGACCAAATTAAAACATGGCAAGCACTTAAAGCAAATCTTTGTACAGCCATTCATCAGAGCCAGTGTTTTTTTTTTCATACCAAAGCCAGTTTCACTTACTCTTATCCTAATCCTTCTAGACTTCTATAGCTCTCATCTTTTATTTCTTGCTAAACTAGGCATCTGATTTGGGAATGCTTATGTAAATGTTTACTAAAATGTTAGCACTAGTCATTGGCTGATTAGTTTAACTGTGGTATTAATCTCCCATCTTTCTGTCTTATGCATGGGATGTGTCATTTCTTTTGTCTGCTCTCACCTGCAGGGAAGAGGTATCACCTGTCTGACATTTACTTCTACTCTAGCTTAGAAATAGCAACTCAGCAGTGTTCTTTAGTTTATTTGGGTGTGAACATAGTCTCCCTCCTGCTTCTCACCCTCTTCATCAACAATAAAGTGATGTCTTCTGTCTTGTACACTGATCAGACATAACATTATGACCACCTGCCTAATACTCTTTACATATGGCAGTTGGTTGGCACTTGTGTCATTCTGCAGCTCACTGTGCATCTTCTGTGAATCCATTTGCTTCCACAGTTATATTGTCAGGATAAGTTAGAGATCATTTTTTAGACAAATTCAACAGCCTCACCACTATAGCCCCTGACTCTTTAGAGTATTTATCATTTTCAACCATTTTAACAAAGATTCAAATACATTTTAATCTTTTAACAAGTACAAATGAAAGTTAAAAGTTTAATCTACAGCAGATAAACCTAATCATCAGTGAGTCGTGAGCGTCCATGACCCTGTCACCAGTTCACCATTTGTCCTTTCTTAGACACTGTTGGTAGGTACTAACCACTGCAGACCAAGAACACCCACTAAGACCTGCAGTGTGGAAGATGCTCTGATCCAGCCACCTCACCGTCACAGTTTGGCCCTTGTCAATGTCATCCAGATCCTTACACTTTCCCATTTTTCCTGCTTCCAACACATTGACTTCGAGGACTGAATGTTCAGTTATACCCCACACACTGCCAGGTGCCACTGTAACAGATAGTCAGTGTTACTCACTTCCACCTGCCAGTGGTCATAATGTTGTGCCTGATCTGTGTATTTTGTCCTTTTTTTGCCTCCTTCAGCTGGAGGATGACATTGTGGCCAAGCCCAACTATTTTGCCACTATGAAAAACTTTGCTCTGCAGCTCTCGTCAGAGGACTGGATGATCCTGGAGTTCTCTCAGCTGGGCTTCATTGGTACGATCCATTAAGCACTTGATCAATAAGCAGCATCCATCAGGGATCTGTCAAATCTGTGAAGTCAGCTGATGGCTGGCTACTCTCCTGGCTTAATGGTCTATAAAGTAATATAGATAGTAGGGAAGCTAAAAATCCAATTTACACATATCAGTACAATATGTAAATGAGGAATGAACATATTTCTAAGTCTAGTTTGTTTTATTTGTTCAGATTAAGTGTGCAGTCAGTAATGATTCTTGTTAGAACTCGTGTCAGTGACTAAATCTGTTCTGTAGGATGATTTTAATTGAATTGTAACTTTGTTTTAAATTATTAATCTGAGTTTTACTACACTGGTATAATTGTCATTGTACACATAGCTGCATTTAAGTTTGTTTTTATTTACAGTGTAGCAACAAGTCCCCTAAGCCCTGTTCATGGTTTAATTATCTCATTTCAAATAATCCATTGTTAATGAGTGCCTTTCTGCAGGATCAATGAGCATCTATAAAAGCCTCCTTATTCTCTCTTTCCTACAGGAAAAATGTTCCAGGCTCCAGACCTAAACCTCATTGTTGAGTTCATCTTCATGTTTTACAAGGAGAAGCCCATTGACTGGCTGCTGGACCATATTCTCTGGGTCAAAGTCTGCAATCCAGAGAAAGACGCGGTATTTCCCATGTTTACTGTATGAGTATGAGCATCAGTGTAAGTGAAATGGTTGTATCAGTCCTGTCTTTACTTTTTTCCAGAAACATTGTGAGCGTCAGAAGTCCAGCCTACGTGTACGGTTCAGACCCTCTCTATTTCAGCATGTGGGGCTCCATTCTTCTCTTGCTGGAAAGATCCAGAAACTCACAGTGAGCCTCATGCCCTCATAGTCATTGATTTGCAACAGTGTTTGAGGCTGCTTCCTTTTGTAGAAACAGTGGCTTTCCCTCTCTGTCTCTAGGACAAAGACTTCCTTAAGCCACTGCTCCACAAGATGCATGTCAACCCCCCAGCTGAGGTTTCCACTTCAATGAAGGTATCACTCCAGAGTTTCCATCCCATTACTGCACAGTTATGTTTTCCAGTTTATATGAGTAAATATAAAATCAAGGAATAAATTGAATTAGTAATGTCTCAAATTGTGAAAACAACACAGGACCAGTCAGTAATATAAAGTGTATACTGTGTGGCACAGGTGTATCAGGGTCACACGCTGGAGAAGACGTATCTAGGAGAGGACTTCTTCTGGGCCATTACTCCTACTGCTGGAGACTACGTCCTCTTCAAATTTGACAGGCCTGTTAGCATAGAGAGGTAAATGTGGACAAGGACTGTTGGTGATATGCTTGTGTGCATAGCTTCTTATCATTTGCATTCTGATCATAGAAGTACTCATAGCACAGCCTAAAATAAATATTATGGTGAAAACATTTGCACATACAGGCACACTTTTCACTTATTTCTTCCTGCTGTCCGATTCCGGTTTAATTTCAGTGTGTGTGCTTGTGTCTCACGGGATCACATGGAGCTAATGAGAGCACTCTAAAAAAAGCTTTCTCAGGCCAGCCTCCTACTTTCTGTGGAGCCAGTGTAGAAAGAGAAGAAGACAGTGAATATAAAGGGAGCGATGGCTGAGCTCAGAGCAGACCTGAAAAGGATGTTAAATTTGGTCATGTCGAGATGTGGCGATTGTTTCCACTTCTTTTGTAAAGATAGTGTTAGGACAGTGAGACAAGTGTGAGAGACTGTCACTCAGCAAGTAAGTGGAAGTGAGTGGGCAAGGGGTCATCAAGTGTTGCACTGTCTGGTTCTCAATTGTTTTGTGTCTGCTTTCAAGTGTCACCAAATTACAGTGGAGCAGGCTGCATTGCTGTGCTGATGAGATGACATCTCATTGGCAGGTTGTTACAAGATGCAACAGTCTTTATCATCTGCCACTACCTGCCACTGATCTGCATTTTTACACTACTCTCTGGCTGTTTAACATTTAAGTATAGTGCACCCACAAACATATTTCACACTGTGCCCATGCTTTCTGAATTCAGAGCATCCCGTAGTTGCTCAGAAATATGCTAAATACTGGAATTTTTACTGTTCAAAACCTGTAGCTACTGTATGACCCGAACATCCATTTAAGTCCTGATAGTGCAATAAGTGGATATGCCCATTTTATTCACAAGTTACTTGATGTCTACAAAGGAACTGATGCACTATGCATATCTGAGTGTCAGTTATCCAATTATATAAATATTCAAATAAGTGCATGATTTGATTGGCAGGTTCCTATTTCGCAGCGGTAACCAGGAGCACCCAGGGGACAAGATCGAGAACACCACGGTGGAAATACTGCCCGTCTCGGTAGGGAAACGCCCACACACTCTGTCTGTCACCCTTCTGTGGTGTGATGTGCAAACAGTTCAGGTTAGATTACACTGAACGATTGCTTGCATTACCTATTGATAGGAATGAAAGCATGACGTAATTGTTTGCTCTGCCAGCGGTGATGCATCTCTGACATTGTGATCCACACTTCCAGTGGAGGCACAGAAGCTAGCATCTGTTCAATGAGAAATCGTTAAGATACTAATTTGTCTTGCATTTTATTCTATTGTCTGTCTGTCTGTGTGTTTGTACTTTAGGAAACTGGACTGCAGACCAAAGAGAAGTACAAACGAACAGAGGACCACTTTTATAGAATTGGTAAGTGTATTTTTCCAGTCTCCGAGTGCTGTGCATAAAAATACACTGTGCCTAGAGTTAACCTTTAGACCAGGGGTGGGCAAACTTTTTGGCTCAGGGGCCACACTGACTTTTAAAATTTGACAGACGGGCCGGGCCAGCACCAGATGCATACATATCAAACATAAACATATAAAAGGCATTACAATGTTAATACTTACATTCACTTTTAGTGGGAACAGTGTTGTTGATCACCTTTTTTTGCCAGTGCATCGAAGTCTGGTGTTAGTTTTGTTGTGGCAATTCTCAGAACAGATCTGAGGTGTTCATCACTCAACTGGGATCTGTGGGGTGCTCTGTTGGTGTTCATCACACTAAAAGTCTGTTTACACACACATTGTAGGTAGAGCCAAACAACACCAGCATCCTCTGTGCCATCTTCTGGATGTTTGGAAATTTGGCTGCACTTAATGAAGCATAAAACTCATCCAGTTTGAGAGAGTTGAACTTCTCCTTTGAGACGGTGTCACATTGGAGATCAGTCAGTTCCAACTGCAACTCCTGTGGCACTGTTTCAGGGTCTTGTGTGATGGGATGTGACACCAGCTGAAGTGACTTGTCAATTTTTCCAAAATCGGAGAACCGATGGCAGAATTCTGCGTGCAGGTCGTCCAGTGGTTTCCTGTATTTTTTCATATGTCAAGGGGCCACTTTCAGCGTAGCCAGTGTGGGGAAATGAGCGAATGACTTATTTGACATTTGCTTTGAGAATAAAGCCTGCTGTCCCTGGTAGGCTAGTGGTTAAGGCGCAGCTCTTTCGCCATGGCGCCCCGGGTTCAAATCCAGGTTGCACCAGGAAGGGCATCTCGATGCCCCCCGACACTCTGTCATACAAGTCCTCTCCCCGTGTTTCCCCCTTTAAGGATTCCATGGCCAAAAACTCCTCCGTTATGTCAAAATTGTCATTAATCCCTCTGATAAAAATTAAAAGCTGAGCGGTGTCCTTTATGTCATTACTTTTGTCCAGTGCCAAGGAATATAATGTAAATGACTCCGCTTTTTTGTTTAGCTTGCTAGCTAAGTCTTCGTCAATTAGCTCAACACAGCGAGTCACTGTGCTGCGTGATAAGCTAATTTTTTCAAATTTGTTCTTGCTCTCAGGACACAAGATACAGTACCTGCTGTCTCTACCATGCACTCTTTGAGAAACTCTCCTTTGGAGAAAGGCTTGCTGGTCTTTGCTAATTTGAATGCCAGCAAATAACCTGCCTTCGTGCTTGATTCTTGGATGGCAGTTTGCCGGATAAAGGTGTTTTGCTGAGCCTGCAAACTAGCTGCCAGCCTCTGAGCAGTAGCCGTCCATTCTTGCGTTGACTGGTTGTTAGCATAATTAGCATGCTTGGTAGAAAAGTGACGGCTGATGTTGTATTCCTTTAAAACGGTTTCTTGGCAAATAAGACATATAGCCTTTGACTGGACTTCAGTAAAAAAAATATTTAGTTGTCCATTCGATATTTAACACTCAGCACTCACTGTCGACTTTTCTTTTTTTTCTTTGGCCCACTCATTGTTGCAGATGGGTTCAGAGCAGTAGCAGAGTAATAACAGAGTAGCCCTGGCTCCGCAAAATCAAGTCAATGTATCACCGCACCTAATGTGCCACCTGGTGGAATGCCAGGCATTACAGGACAAGGTCAAATGAATGCAGTCATAATTATGATATGATATGATTTGGGCAATCCTGTACCAATCTTCGGCGGGCCGGATTAAGAGGACCAACGGGCTGGATGTGGCCCGTGGGCCGTAGTTTGCCCACCCCTGCTTTACAGTGTACAAAAGGTGTGTCATGTGTTCTCAGCCACAGCCTTTTATCCTTTTTTTGTTGTTGTTGTTGCTTTCTTTTCTTTATTCTGTATTTGCTTTTGTTGACATTTTCTCAAATTAGCCTTCTTGTGTAAATAAAAGAGATGTAGGCCATGAACTGAAGCATATTCAATGAAGTTCCAGTAAATCACTCAAGCACCTTCACTAGTGAATTACTGGCCTTGCATTCTTCCTATAAATATCATTTATAGCACTTCACATGTGCTTGTGTGTGTGTGTGTGTATGTGTGTTTTTAATACACAGGTCAGTTTGAGAAGGGTGTGGCAGAAGGGGCTGTAGATCGCTCCTTCAATCCTGTTGTCGCGCTTCGGCTTTCAGTTCTTAAAGACTCCGCTGTGTGGGCCATCCTTAGTGAAGTAAGCCAGTCACACAGCACCTCACAGGCTACGTTCACATTACAGACCTAAATGGACAATGTCTTTTGTGAAGTTGGCTTTAACTGAAATGTGAGCTTCACATGTAGATCAGTAACAACAATAACGTAATTTGTGTGGCAGTCAAAGAATAAACATGGATGACAAAGCTGTGCTAGCATATATGTCCTGGGTTATTTGTTGTCGAGGTCGTCAGACAGTACAGATCATAGGGATGAGAATGAGAAGACCAGAAAAGGCAAAAGCCACAGCTGCTGCTACCTTCATGTTTATATTTACAGGGCTGAGAAATGAGATGTTAAAAAAATAAAAACCAATTCTGATTGGACCATTCTGACAGCGTACACATAGCCATCGACTGAATGTGAATGAGATGTAGGACCATATATAAAAGTGGCCCAGATCTGATATGAAAAAAATCTAATGAGTATGTTTGCAACAGTATGAGATTCTCACGGTATGATAACGGTCTTCGAAAAATATCACGGTGTCACTGTATTCCGGTATTACACAATTACTATTATTACAACAACCCTCAGATAAATGAAAAAAAAGTGACTGTGCCAGTTTATTGAGCTGAATTGTGGCGCTAGATTGACCCTAAAGAACAAAGAAAGTTATAAGGATGATAAAAAAAACAGCATCTAACTATAACATGTTACATAACTAAAGCATGTTAGCACCAGTAGTAGAGGAAGTATTCACATCCTTTACATAAGTAAAAGTACTAATATTACACAGTAAAATTAGCCTAGTGTTACAAAAAAGTACGTAATGAAAAGTGCTTTATTAATGTTAAGTTAAAGTAAATATTAACACAAAAATGTACTTGCAGTATTCAGTGTTAGTAGGATTCTCAATGCAGAAAAATGTTACACTGTACAGTATATTATATCATTACATTATCAGACTATCTCATACACTGAGGTAAAGGCAGGATTTGACTGTTGTAGTTGACTGGAGGTGGAGCTCTGCTGAACTATTTTGTATCCAAGTGCAACTAATGATTATTTTCATTTGGGATTATTTCCTCCATCAATCGACTAACTGGTTTGTAAAAGTTCTGACAGTAGTAAGAAATGACGTCGCAATGCTCGTATAAAAAAAAAAATCATTTATTGTAAGTGCGTGAGAATGCAGCCAGACCTGTTTGTACCCTCACTCACTCTCTCTCTCTCTCTCTCTCTCGCTCTCTCACACACACTCTCACACACACTCACACTCACACTCACACGCACACACACACACACACATACATTTATCCTGAGTCTGACAGGCAGTCAGGGAAGAAAGGTGCACACGCATCGTTTTTTTTTTCCCGTCAATACTGGTAATAAGCAAATGTGCATGGTACGATAACTATCAGTTTTCATACCATGGTATACTGTAAAACCTGTATACCACTGCAGTCCTACTGATGTCACTTCACCATGTATTATGAACATAGCCTTAATGTCTTGTACAATAACTATCAGTTTTCATACCATAGTATACTGTAAAACCCGTATACCACTGCAGTCCTACTGATGTCACTTCACCATGTATTATGAACATAGCCTTAATGTCTTGTCCAGTTACATGAACAGTGCCATTTGCTCCAGATGTCTACTGCCTCCTCATTTTAACCCACTAACACTGGTGATGCTCTGCTCTCCTCCTGCAGATACATATAAAGAGGATAGCTGGCTGATTGTTCTTGAGGGGGCACATTAGTCTTGGCCCCTGGGGGACCAAAATCTCCTGGACTGCTTAAGCAGGGCCTTTGGAACCTAGCAACCAGCAGTGAAATGATTAGAGTTGTTCATCTGTCTGAGGAATGTCACCTCTGTCCCCAGCTATTCTTAATGTACCTTGTTATTCTTCTTCTCATCTATCAATTTCTCTTTGTTTCTGACTCTCCCCCTCACTCTTGTGCTCTTAATTCATTTGTGAGAATGTGAATACTACTATTTAAAGAACAACAGCAGAGTGTGAAACAACATTTGTTCCCAGCTCTGGCTCTCAAAGTGACTATGTTGCTCAGCAGCTTTGAACACAATCAGAAAACGCCTAGAGGAATGAGGACAAATCATCACATCTGGGAAGAACCAGTGATCTGGCCACTGGTGTAGATGCTGCCAAATCCTTCTGCTGCTCGATGCTGCCACCTTTGGGCAAGCTGGGGCATTGCACTGTCTCTAGTGCCTCAGCAAAGCCTGTGATGATCAAGAATGTTGTCATCACTAATGGCCAGCTGCTCTCTGTTCTTGATCAATACCAGCCCAAGCAAAAATATTTCCCTCACTCCTGAGGTATTATAAGTCACATGCAAATGCTCCACTTGTCCTGAAACACAAACTCAGGATGAGCTTACTGTTCCAAAATCCTGCCTGGAGCCAGTCAGTGACAACTTTGACCATAGGCCAGATTCTGTGGTACTTACCCCGGTCCATCAAAAACATAAGTACCATGACGCCATATCTGCCTCACCTCCTGTCTGACAGGCCGCGTATCCATTTATAGTAAACCAATCAGACATTGACTGGTCTCATTGTCCTGAAGGAATATATTATTATATTGATATATTGTTACAGCTATGATGATCTATGAAGGTGACTTAATTTATTGGAAATAAATCTTTAATTTGTACAAGAGGTAAATATATTTTTATTCTATTTGAAGAGGTTTATGGTAGTTCAGTATGTTTTATTTGTGCTGTTTTTTTTCTAAATAGCTATTGTACATTTTATTTTCATAACAGCTTCTTGTGAAATTGCTTTTTCTGCAAATGGCAAGTAGTTCAGTTCGTTTAGTTTCTTTCACTTGAAGTGAAATGTTACAAGTAAAATGGTTTTTAATTTAATTGTTGCTTTAAAACTAAATGGTAGGACAGTTGTGAATTGATTCTTTAGAAACAGATGTGGGTCAGAATTGGAAAATGTGCCTTATGTCCAGGTCCCGTGAAATTGTCTCAGCAACATTGTTCCAGTCTGTCCCCTCTTACCTTTTGCCCACACTTTTATTGTTGGATATACTAATATTCTGAAAATAATCCACAGACCAATTAGTGATTCAGTGTTAAGAACAATACCTGTGTCATGCTGAGTCAGTGGTAAACAAGGTTTTGTGCCATTTGAATCAGTGTGAATTGCATTGCCTTTTCATGTATGTACCATCACATCCTTCAGCACTATACTTATATTTTCCATCTTCCCACAGTGAAAGTTCATTCCACTTGCTCCTTCTAGATCCACTTTATACTTTTTTTGTCCAATCACTTTTTTTTTGACTGGACACAATATTAAGACTACTGATAATTGCAGATTGCGCTTTTGTGGTATGATTTGGCTGAGGTTGTATAGTCCTTCTACTGATTGTAAATCTGTAAAAACAGCAACAAGTCTCTCTGTCATCTTCTCTTTTGCCTCACTTCATAGTTTATTGAAATACGCTTGACATGTTTTTGTTTGTGTGTGCGTGTGGTCAGTGTTCTGTGTGGAAACTTTTAAGTGAAGCTTCAGTATTTTCACATTAGTGGTTTATTCAAGGGGTAGTGCAGTGCCTTCTGTTGGAACTGATAAAGTGGAACAACTTTTGCTAGTCATGCTTGTTCACATGTGCAATTTTTATTTTGTAATTATTTACAGCCTACACTCCTTAGCGAAACAGAAGCGCTCTGTCTCTGCCTCTTAAGCAGATTCTTGGGAGAAGATGGGAGCAAGTCACTCAGAGCTCAGGGTTACTTAAGGGTGGAACTTGTTTTGAAAGGGTAAAGACACTTTCAGTACTCCCCATTGTCTGGCAGCCAAATACAAACTGAAACTCTGCATGAATTTTGATCCCTGAGATTCCGCCTGCTGTATTTATGGAAATTGGACAGGAGAGGAGGAAAAACAACAATCTCATACACCCATCAGTTCATGTGCCTTCACTGTGTACATGTGTATGCCTGCCTGATTTTTTTTTTTCATAAACATCTTTGAAATAAATTATAAAAGTTAGAATTTATGGCGAGTTTTTTTCTTGTTCTACTTCTCATGTCGCCTGCATCACCAGATTTGATTTCAGAACAGTCGTAAAATAATGTGGTTAAAGTAACTCCACTGCTAACGTTACCTTAAATATCATTTGTCTTGATTTGTTAACGTTTCACCGATAGGTCTGTCTGCAAACGTAACAAAAACGCGCAGGAGAAACTACGATCCTTCCCAGTGTGCACTTTGTGTCGAGCACTTCCGTTTTCCCATCATGCAGTTTCAGAAACATGGTCGCACACAGCTGTCATAACATTGATCTTAACTAGCTCATTCTTCTACGCCAGAGAATATCGGTGTTAGTGTATTTTTTCCACAATGCCGAAATATTACGAGGATAAAGAGGAGGATAGCAGAGCCTGCGCCGGCATCAGAGAAGACTTCAAGACATGTCTCCTTGAGCACGTCTGCGTTGTGAAGGTGGGTACTTTAAACGTCTTTTGGTCATCTTAAAACGGACTATGTACTTTGTGTGCTACTTATGAGTAGTGTTTGCTTTTGTATCAGAGACGCTGTTCAATTCGGCGTCACTATAACTCCTTCAGCTTAGCATATGTTTCATATTATGCACATGTCAGTTTTACTTTAGCTTCATATACTTAGTTTGCTAGCTAGCTAGCTTATGCTAACGTTACCGTTTAGGTAAAATTTCAAATCGAATTAAACTTCTGTCTCTTTCATGGTGTATTGTATGTGTGCAGTTTGCAGTTAGATATCCACGGAGTTCACAAAAAAATTAAGGACCAATCAGTAAATGTTTGGCATATGTTTAAGGACAGCTTCTCAACTGATCACTATATAATTTTACGTGCTTTCAGAAAGTATCCTATTCAGAGCTCTTGACTTTCTGCACACATTGTGTTGAAGGGCTGACTTTAAATTGACAAAATTTACGTGCTTGTCCGTCAGCCTGCACCATAGGCTGTATTTGGGTGTATTTTTCCTCCTCTCAATTTTAACAAGTCTCTGTTCCTGCTGCTGAGAAGCCGCTCCCACCATGCTTCACTGTCGGGCTGGTGTTGGCAGGTGATGAGCAGTGCCTGGTGGTCCCAGGTGCTTGGAGGTCTGCCCAAAGGGTTAAATTTTGTAATCGTTATCAGGCCAGAGTCTGACTGTTTTCATGCCCTCTGAGGGCATTTAAAGGCTAAACTCCAGGTGGGCTCATATGCCCTTTACTCATCGTCTTCCATCTAGTTTTGCTAACATAAAGGCCTGGTTGATGGAGTGCTGCTGAGAGTTGTCCTTCTCCCATCTGTGCAGAGGACTTCTGAAGCTCTTCAGGGCCCTTTTATCCTCTTACTTGGTTTTGCTAGGCAGTCAACTCAAGATCAAAGATTTTTATTGTCAATACACTATATGTGCAGGACATACAGAAAATTGAAATACCGTTTCTCTCTCACCTAGTATTGAATGCTATACCATTTAGGAGACTGTGTGGTTTCAAACCTTTTCCATTTCACGATTGTTGAGACCATTATGTCCCTGGGAGCACTCAACGCTTTAGAAATGGGTTTTATTCCCTTGCCCCGATGTGACATACTGTGTGTCTCAAACTGTTTTATCACTGAGGTCTACAGAGTTTCTTGACCTTTATGGCTTGGTTTAAGGCCTGACATGTAGTGTGAATTATACGAGACCTGCGTGCATTTCTAAACTTTTCAGTCGATTACATTTAATGCAGGTGGAGTCCAATCAAGTTTTATACAAAGCTCAAAGATAATTGAAGCAAACAGGATGCACTTGACCAAAATTTGGAGAGCCACAGCAAAGGTTCTGAGTACTTGTGTACTTTTAACGTTTTTTTTTTTTTTTAATACATGTTTTCATTTGGTGTTGCAGATGGAAAAAAAAAATTGTACTTTAATAAACTCAAAATGAACACTGTGCAAAAAAGGTCTAAAAATGTTCTGAAGTCACTCAACAACTGTGCATAAAAGGTCTAAAAATGTTCTGAAGTCACTATACCTGTATCAACTTTATATACCCGTGTCTCAATAGAAGTGATGTAAACTAATCTGTTACAGCATCAGAGAGCTAAATTAAGGCTAAGACTTTAATGGGTCTTTCCAGTGAGTCTACGTGGTTTCTTAATTTTTCAGGAAGGGAAGTTGCCCAGCGAATGTTTGAAGGAAGGCCATTGCAAAGCCCTGCAGATGTCATTCTTTGAGTGCAAGAGGTCAATGGTAAGTCGATGCACAAAACATTTGGTGGGAAGTGGAGTAAAACAGAGAATTCTTGTTTTAAGATGTGCTGCAAAGACTGACCACTGTCTGTCTTTGATCTACAGCTGGACACAAGGGCAAGATTCAGAGGGAGGAAAGGATACTGAGGAACCAGCTGTTGCCAAAAGGTTGAATAGGTGTACTTCTAATGATTTAAATCAAAGGGGTGCTGTTCATGCCTCAGTGTATCTTCAGCTTTAAAACATCATCTGAAGCATGTATGCCAAGAAAGACGGTAGCAAAGGACTACCGAACGTGAAAGAACAATGCACAATGACACTCGGGAGGATTACAAACTCATCAGCAAAATGGGCTGCTGACAACACCTGGAGCTGTCACAGCTCTGGATGAATGAATGTGTTTCATGCTATGGGAAACAAAATTAATAAAAGACTTTGTGAAATGAGGCACGGCTGAATCATAAAATGTCAAGTGTATTAAAATATATTTTCATGATACCTATACAACAGTTGAGACAAAAGTGAGTCCTAATCTGGGACTTTTCAGCTTTAAACTGTGCAGTTAGTTACAAATAATTTAGAAAAATTACTGTTTAAAAAAAACAAAACAAAACAAAAACCTTCAGACTAGCTTCAGCACATAGAGCTGTTATTTCAAAGCAGCCATCATCATCTGCTTGAACTTCTCCAGATCTACCTTCTTAATGATGAAAGCATTGGGTGTCTTATTTAGGAAGCCCACAGTATCTACTATCATCATGCCTCTGGTGTGTCTGCCTGTTAACTCTATGCTAACTGGATACTGGTCGCTTTCTATGATGAATGCGTCATCTACAGCAGCTGCCATGGCATAGGAGTCACAGGAAACAAAACCATCGCCATCAGTTAACTCTTTCTGGAAGCGCTGGGTTTTCGATTTCTCAATGCTGTGGCGGAAGATCCGTTCCATGAAGCGAGCTTTATCAGTGTCCTGCGCCAGCCAGGTATCACAAAACTCCTGTCAACACCACAAGAAATGTCAGCACAGAAAGACTGCAACATTCCTATGTTGTCTTTGTTGGTGTATTAGTAAGGTTAGTTGTTGTAAGATGTTAGTGTTTAAAAGAAAGCTGTACCCAGGGCAGCTTGCTGTAGCAGGTAAACTCCCAGCAGGCCAGGTATATGGGACACTGGTAGTCATTAAGTACAATGTAAGCAGCTTCTGGATCCACAGCAAAATTGAACTCACTACACACTGTGGTGTTTCCTCGAGCTGAAAAAACATACCACAGAAAAACAATTGATTACCTACTGAACAGCATCACAGTGAGCACTGAAGGATTTGTACTCTACTGTAATTAGATTACAGTTACAAACCCTGGGGTCATAGGGCTGCAGCTAATCATATTTATTACTGGTTGTTTCCTTGATTAACTGATTCAGCTTTGTCTGTAAAATGCTATGCAGTAGTAAAAAATGAGTACATTTTCACATAGCTTGTTTTGTCCTGCCAACAGTCTACAAGCCAAAGATTTTCATCTTATGATTAAATAAAAACAGAAAAGCAGTTGTATCCAGATTGCATTTGGAAGTTGGGCTTGAAAAATGACTTAAATGAGTAGTCATTTTTTAAATAGTTCCAGATTAATTTCCCATAGATTGAATAATCACTGACAACAGGTCTCTAGAAGATTTCTGGCACCTCTTGACTTTTCAAACACCAGTGTGAGATGAGACAACTGAGAGCTTCAATGGCACAAAGTCTGAAAAATATTTAAGGTAGTCCTTTACCTTTGTGTCTACGTTATTTTGTCCAGCCCCGGGTGTATTCTACATGCTCACCCCTTTGAAACCAAACCTTGACAGTGTTTTACTGACACTCAGTGTTGCCTCCCATGATGTAGAGCCCTCGCAGTTTGCTCGGCAGGGACGGATCCATCTTCACAGCAAGTGCCAGGTTGGTAAGTGGTGCTGTGGCGACCAGAGACACCTAGGAGATAAACAGAGACTTATAACATGGAAAAAAAAAAGTCCCTATATACTCACACCGAGCTCTGTCATATCTCTTACCTGTCCTGGGTTTTCACTGACAATCCTGATCATAGCTGCCACAGCGCCCTCCTTCTGAACCAGGTCCAGACCAGGAGCGTTGGGATCAGGAGCGTCTCCCAGTCCGTCCTGCCCATGGAAGCTTGATGCTTGAATGCTCTTCCCAAGGACCGGCTTATCAGCGCCTTTAAAAACTGGAATCTGGCACATGAGAAGAACACACAAGGTGAAGCGTGCAAACATACCACAAGGACAAAACGTCTGCAGAGTTGCTAAACAGACATTTGTTAATTTATGATTGAGATATAAGGGAAAGGAAATATGAAAAATGAACATATACAATCTGGGATAAACAATGCATCTATCCTTTTATTAATATATATGCATTTTGTGATATTTTCCTGCCACTGTGGGCAATGCTGCTAATTATTCAGCATGACTACATTATGGCACACTTTCACATTATTATGCTTTTGTACCTTGACTGAATTAGCCAAAAAATAATAATTCTACCTTATTTCTATAGTTCACTGTACTATATCACAGTATACTATATGGATATCTTGGCAAAAGCTCAACCACCTCTACTACAAGATTAAACATAGACTTGCTTAGGATGTAAATAGCAAAGTCTATGGGAAAACTAGCTTAACACAAAATAGGAATGTAAGATGCAAAGGAGATATATTTATCCCCCCATGTTTAAATACATGCTCTTTTTTTTTTTAAGTCAATGTTCTAAAACCAAACGGTGTTAACTTTCAAATTCAGCTGAAAGTGCTGCAAATTTTCATCAATAAACCTCAGTTTTGGACATTTTCCTTAAAACTATTAAA